CATTACTAACCATCGCCACAAGAGGCAGACATAGTGATATTTTGACCTGTGCTGAACTTTACTATATCATTGCAACTATAAATCAAGCAAAAATGAATCAAAATTTAAGAATTTCCCATTTTACAGAGAATCAGGGTCATAACCGCCATAGATGTAAGGTGGATGTGTTAATTAATATTCAGAATATAATATAACATAATATGTATAATATTCAGGATAGTGGTAAATAAATACACTCTTAAAATTAAGGGTTCTTTATTGGCATCGATAATTCCATGAAGAACCTTTAACATCCACAAAACCATGAAAACAGTTCTTTTATAGTGGAAAAAGGTTCTTTAGAATATTTAAATGTTCTTCATAGTGAGAAAAAAAATGCACACACACACACAAAAGTGTATCTTTTTTTTCATATCTTGAACCCCCTAGTTTTGAACATTTGGCTGCATCTTTGCAAATATTAAAGTCTAACTTACGTATCGCCATAGTTGCACACAAAAATAGTGGATTCTGGGTGAGTGGAGAAGTTTTCGATTCCTCTAGTGCACACATTTACAGCACAGCCCATCTTGAAGCTTGTAGACCACATTAACTGAAACATACGATAAATGCACAAATGCATACGGTTGATAAACAAACCTTACTTTGATTTTCATTCCTGAACAATATTCACAGCTGAACATACCTGTGCGTAGTGGCCACACATGCGTGAGCAGTTGTTATTTTTGAGTGAGTAAGCTCCTTTGCTCCATCCGTATATGGCGTTCTCCAGTGAGAAGGCTGAAAACTGAGCCCCCAGCCAGATGTTCTCGCCCATCCACCCGAAGAGCGGGTGCCCGAAATGTGCCAGCCCAGGGTGATGAGAGGCCTTGCAGTGTCTTGCTCGGTCTCTGGCACCCTTGGCCAATTCATTGTCCCAGGACTGTGGACAAACACACAAACAATAATCCAAATCATTTTGAATATACATATGATATGACTTAAGATACGACTGACAGGATTAAACAAACAAGTGCCTCTAAAACGTACATTTAAGCCCCATTCTCACCAAAAACCATAACTATATTACTGTCCACACCAACGCAAAAATATTTTGTTTGCTATAAACGCATGCTGCAGTTTTGTTGTCTCGACATGCTCCAGCTCTTTAAAGCAGGATTGATTTTGATTGGCTGTCAATTTATTTTACTCGTTCATCACCTGGAAAAATGTAATCGTTCCGTAAGTGATTCCAAAGATATCATTCCTTTTCTGTCGTTTTCATTATACAGTAGTCATGAATCACTTACCTGTTCCCAAATAATTTGACTGATTAATAAATAAAGTTTGAATAGTTCAAATTCTTTGGGAATGGGTTAGTGATTTGGTCTGAACGGGCCGTTAGAATTCAATTTGTCCCAGAATATTCAATCCCAAAACATTTTACTTGTGCAACTTGGTTTGTTCCGTGCTAAAATACTTATTCGAACTAATTCAACTACAATAACTTATCTTTACAACATTAAAAAACAGGTTATTAGATCAAACAAATAACACATTTCATATGATCATTGTTGGAGAGATATCTGAGAATATCCAGATATTCCAGAACCCTCTTCAGGCACCATCCCAATCAACAAGACCCTTTGTTTGCTTTTCATTCTTCGACTACTTACAAAACACAGTCAAGATCAGTTACTCACACAATAGGGAGCCTTTCCTTTCCACTCATACAAAACATCTCTTTATTGCCATAGCAACCAGAATGATGGTTGTGCATATTTGTTCAGACTGAAACTCTGAGACAAAAACAAAATGACATGCTGTAAAGCGAAATATTACCACGAGCATTTCAAATGTGAAACAGTGAGACAATGGGTTTCACAGACAAACACATAAACACACACATGAAGATGAACGTGAGTCAAATTGAGTAAACAACATGCTATCTGCACGAATGATTATGAACACATAAATACTTTCAGGAATGATTCATCTAAAACGAAACACTAAATACTGCGTCCTGAACACGTGTCTTACCATTGAGCGCGCGCTGGCCGCAGGTGGAGCGTTGCGCGAGCGCTGCGCGTTATGCGCCAGCACACACCTGCGGATGAACTCGGGTTCCGTTATTTCCGGTAAGAGAGACAGAACGCCGCAGGAGCCGTACAGAAGCACCGATATCCGTAAGAGAAGACCGCCGAGAGAGTCCATGGCACTGATGGCAGGAGACTGTCCTGAGCCGCGCTGCTTCGCTCTGGATAAATGAGTCAATGGAGCATCACTGCAGGAGACGCGCTGACCTGTGCGTCATGGTGCCGTGGATTTGCCCACTCTCTCTCTCTCTCTCTCTCTCTCTGTGTCTGTCTGTCTGTCTGTCTTCGTACAGGGGGCTTTTTGAAGGACTAAAACTGAACCGCCCACCATGTCACGAAAAAATCAGATGCGCAGCACTCTTTGTCTTCATCCCTCACGCACAAGTTCACGCGCGCGCACACACTTGTCCAAATGTAAATTAAAGCGTGGGACAAAAATGGCCATTTTGCCCTATTTAGCCCGTTCATATTTAGAATGTCTATTTAAAAAATACATTTTTAGAATTATTATTTTTTTTAGATGTCAACTAAATATCAGTTATCAGTTAATTTATGTTAGATTTATCCGAACGTGTATTTAAGATTTTAAAAACAAATTATTTAAACATTTAGAGCGATAATGGTTGTTCTCATGGGATATTGCCTTTAATCATAGATTTATTTAGTAACACAATTATTTAATTGTTTTATTTGAATATGGTCTTCTTTCATTCAAGATTTTTTTATTAGTACTTTGTCTTTGCAAGTTATGTGAGCAAAAAGTCTTACTTTTTTCTCTTTTTATGGTCGGTTAAAGGAGGTTTCTTTAAAGTGCATTTACACATGTGAATGGATTACTTTGCAGCAGCATTTTAAATGATTTTTAAATAACTTTTTTTTCACCTACAATCATTTTGCAACAATTTTTGTTTACAAAAAAGTATTTATTTTTCGTTAAATTGTTTATAAATAAACATTTACAAAATGGTTTTGTTGCAGCATTTTACATTTTTTCTGTAATAACTAATTTTAGTTTACAAATACGTATTTTTATGTATTTGTCTCTTAATTGTTAACATTTACACATGAGAATGGATTATTTTGCTACAATTTTGGTTGTTTTTTACATTCAGTACTTTTGCAACTTTTACAATATTATCGATTATGTTTAGATTTAAAATATTTTTTTTACCTTTTCATGTACTTAAAATTTATACATTTTTCTACCTTTGCGTAATTACATTTCAAAATGTGGTCCTTAGTAGCATATTTTATTTTACTATATATTTTTACTGTGTTTTACCTTTATATACTAATCTTTTTTACATTCAGTACTTTTGCAACTTTTACAATATTATCGATTATGTTTAGATTTAAAATATATTTTTTTACCTTTTCATGTACTTAAAATTTATACATTTTTCTACCTTCGCGTAATTACATTTCAAAATTTGGTCCTTAGTAGCATATTTTATTTTACTATATATTTTTACTGTGTTTTACCTTTATATACTAATTATTTTTACGCAAGTCTCATTCATGATCATAGAAAATTAATACATTTTAAAATGCATTTATGAAGACTATTTAACTTGGTTGGTATTGTGGTAGACATTTCAGACTACATTTCCCACAATCCTTTCATGAGCACAGTCACGTGTGTTGGGTTTAAAATCACCACAGCAACGGGAGCGCGGAAGTGAAATCTTCACCTTTGCAGAAAAGTGTGCAACAGGTAAGTGCGTAAGGCCTGTAATGGCTTTTTAAAATTAACAGGTGTTACGTGTATTAATTATTCTGTCCATTTATATGTATATTTATATCAGAAACCCACGATAACTGGAGCAGACCGCGGGCCAAGGCCAGCAGAGTAAGTTTAGAGAAATAAGAAAAGCTTACAAACACATACAGCTCTGGAAAAAATTAAGAGCCCACTGCAAAATGATCAGTTTCTCTGGTTTTACTATTTATAGGTACGTGTTTGAGTATAATGAACATTTTTGTTTTATTCTATAAACTACTGATAACATTTCTCCCAAATTCCAAACAAACATATTGCCATTTATTTGCAAAAAATGCCCACTGGTAAAATTAACAAAAAAGATGCAGAAACAAGTTCACATTCATTTCTAATGTTTTAACTTCGGAACAGTTCAGAAATCAATATTTGGTGGAATAACCCTGATTTTCAGTCACAGCTTCCATGCGTCTTGTCATGCCCTCCACCAGTCTTTCACATTGCTGTTGGGTGACTTTGTGCCACTCCTGGTGCAAAAATTCCAAACATATTGCCATTTATTTGCAAAAAATGCCCACTGGTCAAATTAACAAAAAAGATGCAGAAACAAGTTCACATTCATTTCTAATGTTTTAACTTCGGAACAGTTCAGAAATCAATATTTGGTGGAATAACCCTGATTTTCAGTCATGGCTTCCATGAGTCTTGTCATGCCCTCCACCAGTCTTTCACATTGCTGTTGGGTGACTTTGTGCCACTCCTGGTGCAAAAATTCAAGCAGCTCTGGTTTTGTTTGATGGCTTGTGACCATCCATCTTCCTCTTGATCACATTCCAGAGGTTTTCAGTGGGGTTCAGGTCTGGAGATTGGGCTGGCCATGGCAGGGTCCTGATCTGGTGCTCCTCCATCCACACCTTCACTGACCTGGCTGTGTTGCGTGGAGCATTGACCTGCTGGAAAAACCAATTCTCAGAGTTGGGGAACATTGTCAGAGCAGAAGGAAACTCTAATTAAATATCAATAACTCATCTAAAAAAACATGTTACATTTACAGGAAGAAATTGAAAAAAGGAGGGGTTTTGTTGAACCCAAAGTGCGGCAAAGAACCATTCTAATTAAATTTAGTTCAAATTTGTTACCACTGCACAAAAAATACCCATTCACATGCTTCTATTTTGTCTTTGGTAAAACCAAAGTGTTTTGTGCTATTTAGGTTTTCGTTTTATGTCTGCAGAGTAAAAACTCAGAAGTCTTTAACGGAGAACAACGTATCTAACAAGCTCTGCTTTCAAGCCAGGATTTTATCAAGGTAGTCACAGCTACTTACTTACTTTCAGCCATTTTTTGTTTTATTTTGTAATTTGCATTTGTGCAATAATTTGTGTTCGATATATAGGTGTGGACGTGAAGCGTGTCGAAAACTGATCGGCTTCTTTTTCACATGTGACCAAACACTGACCGTGTACGAGTACCGAAATGTTGGTAAAACAGGTAAGGCTATAATGCTTTGTATTTATACAAATACAGCTCTCATACAGTTTTCCTCCACATTTAGGTGTCTGAAAATATAGTTGTTAATCATAACTCTTTCAGATGGAACGCACTGCCCTTTATCGCGCGTGGTGTGCATTTGAACAGAGGGAGGCCGTACTGCCTGCAGACATCTCACAGGTTCACCACACTCATCATCTGTCACTCACACACGGACTAATATTAATTCATTAACACTCTGCCTACATCACCCAGGGTGCCGAGCTTCATTTCTGTACAGACGGCCCACACCTCCCCCAAAGTCTGAGACAGCAGCCGTGCCTGACCCTCAGAGTTACTGATGTGGATGATACAGCCAAGGGAGCCCTGCTGTATGTACCACTCACACACACACACACACCCACACCCACACCCACACATGTGCGCTAGTGAGAGGACTCGAGAGTGTTTCTTTAGCACAGAACTCAGTCTGGGGAAACTTTACATCATCTCTCTGAAGAGGAAATCAACGATCGAAATGCTCTAAAGGAAATTCAAGGTTAATACACACAAACATTTCTTATTAAAATGCATAAATATTCATCCAGAATGTTTCTCACTCACACAAACCTGTTTATAAGGTGACGTCATTTTTAATGTTAAAATTGGAGCTGTCAAAATTTTTAATCAGATTAATTGCATGAAATGCCAATCGGTAAGGTTGGTAAGATTTTTTGATGTTTTTGAAAGAAGTCGCTTATGTTCAAACATAAAAACATTTTTTTAATATATATATAATATATATATATATATATATATATATAATACATTTAAAAAGTAATTTATTCCTGTAATTTTCAGCATCATTACTCCAGTGTTCAGTGTCATATGATCCTTCAGAAATCATTCTAATATGCTGATTTGCTGCTCAAGAAACATTACTTATTGCTATCAATGTTGAAAACAGTCGTGCTTCACATTTTTCATATTTTCATATTTTTGTGGAATCTTTTCTAAATAGAAAACACATATTTATTGACACTTTTGATCAGTTTTTCTGATCTTAAGATTTTTTTGATATGTGTTTTCTAAATAGAAAACACATATTTATTGACACTTTTGATCAGTTTAATGCACCCTTGCTGAATAAATAAATGTACATATAATTGAAACTGGCTACTTTGAAATCAAATTCATCAATCTGGTCTTGCGCCATGAGCATTACATTTTTAAGATGTCCTGTCAGGTTAAATCCTTTAAAAAGGCACATGGCCACCTGAAATCACACACTTCACCATAAAGTGACTGTGTACTGTATTATTCATAGTATGCAGTGTTGTATATTGCATAGCATAGTGTAGAGTACAATTATAAAGTTCAGGGTTGGTAAGATTAATACTTTTATTCAGCAAGGATGCATTCAATTAATCAAAAGTGACAGTAAAGACATGATGTTACAAAGGATTTCTGTTTTAAATAAATGCTGTTCTTTTGAACTTTCTATTCATCCTGATAAAATGTATCACAGTTTGCACAAAAATATTAAGTAGCACAACTATTTTCAACATTGATTTGACTGTTTTCAACTATTTCCACAATATTACTGTTTTTACTGTATTTTTGATCAAATAAATGAGGTCCTGATGAGAATAAGAAACATTTAACTACTGTTTGGATTGGCACATGCTAACAAGTTTTAATTTATAACTGTTGTTTAAAAACATTAAATCACTGTTAACATGAGTAATAATTTGTATTTTATTTATCTACCATAATATCTGTACATATACAAGCCTTAATATGAAAGGCTATGTAAAAATGAAAATTCACAGATGAATCATGTGTCCAATATGGACATATATGCATGCATGGCATCAAAAGGCTATTTGTGTCTATTTGAGGAAGGTCTCCCTGTGTCAATGGCCATTAGACAGTCCGTTAACAGATCCATTAGAGTAGGTGTGTGAACCCTCCTCATTCTCTTCTTCAACGCTGCGCTCATCGCCCTTCAGCTAAAGAGAATTAATTTTGTGCATTGTTATTTATTTTTAATAAAATCACTAAAATGCACATACTGCTTTATTAGTTATTTTATATGAAGAACAATGGATCCTCACTTTGCTGAAAATAAACTTTTTGACCATGCGGAGGATCAGGGAGGCCCAAAACATAGAATAACAGCAGCCCCACAAGCATGACGTTAAAGAAATAATAGCCGAAAAAGGGTTCAAACTGGTCCAGAGGATAAACCCACGTACAGTGGATCAACCTGTACTCACGACACACACACAATTTAACAAACGTAACCCTAAAATCTCCCACTCATTTACCTCTGTCACACACTTACCAGAAAGGGAAGATAATGAGTCTGGTTACCATGAAGGCCAGCGCGAACACCACAAGGATACTGTTGCAGGTCGTCTCCCATCCAGCATAGTTGAACATCTTAGCAGACTTGGAGAAACAGAAAAACGACAACACCTTTAAGACATGTTTAACTCTTCTTTCACTGTTTATCGCTCTCTCTCACCTCGAGTAGGACATCAGATGTGTCGTGCACCAGCATGACTAGTGTGCCAATGCGAATGTAGTTGGCACACCAGGAGAAGGACAGCAGTGTAAGAGTGGCCCAATGATGGACCAACTGCTCCTTAAAGTCCTACAAATCGACACAGAGAGAAATAGAGCTCCATAAACCTAGAAAGGCATATCTCTCAAGATATGGCAACTTCATATTCCTATCAAGTTTTCAGTTATTTACAAATTCCATAAAATTTCTCCAAAAGCGTATTATTTTAATGAATGCATACATCCATTTATTAAAACTTACTGCATTGAATTGCATGCATTATTGCTAACTGACTGTTTTATGATCTTATTAGCTGTGCTACCTGCAGGAGTGCTTATGACCTTGATGTGACCTTAATCATTTGAAATTATGAAATATGAAATGAAATATGAAATATTTATAACTGATAATGTAACGAAAATAGTGCATTACCTTACGTTTTACATCTGCAGCAACTCTGAACAGTAAAGAACCATAAAAACTCATCTCAATGATGTAATACCAGTACTGAGAGTCCAGCAGTGACTGCACACACACACGCGCACACACACACACACAAAACAAACATATTTAAAAACCAACCACCATACACACATGCTTGCACAAACACAACCCTCCCAGAACAACATGCAAATATTCAGACTGGTTTTCACTGTGCTACGTACAGTATATTTGTTTTTGCTTTTAAAACACTCGAATGTAGTTACTATAAGTAATATACTTACTTGTTTGGGAAATCCTGCCCACACTTCCCGTAGATCATAAAACCATGGTTTCTGTCGCACAAAACAATATAACTCAGAGTTTATTTATTTTTTGAACCAAATAATCTCATTAAATGAAATAAACACTAATATTTCAGTCTGTGTATTAGAGATAAGAATTTTTCAGTGATTCTTTCTCGTAGTTGCATCGTTACGCCAGTAGGTGGCGCCAAGTGAATGAATCTTTGAATCATTCGAATCAACAGATTTGTTCAAAACATTGATTCATTGATTCATTTATTAGGAATGAAACACCGCTACGGTGTGTTACTACTAGGAGATACTCGACGGTTGATTAACAGTTCGCTGCCTTCTTGTTTATTGAACTGTTGTATAAAAGCAATTTCACAGGCTACTCTCAGACATGCCGTTGGTCTGAATATCACTGTAATAACCTGCACGTTTGCTCTTGTGAAATTGTTCATTTCTAGGTAGGCCTACTTCAAAACAACAAATTTATTTCTGTGTTATTAAAAACCCAATTCAGCAGAGCCCACACATAATTCACTACCCTAAACCCTAGATATGGTTGGATATGGGATTATATGTCTAAATTTAATACGTTAGTATGCTTGTTTTAACAACAAATTAATGTATGTGTGTGTTTGGGTGTGTGCAGGGCCTGTCCATGCCTGTTATTGTACCCGTTTGTGGATCTTTCTATCAGACTGGCGAAGTTCACAGGTGGGAAAATGTTACTAATTACCCCACAGGCATTTCTTACAAACACATATGCTGATTCAAGGTCTCTCCTGAGAATCTCTGCATGTGCTGCAACACACACACACACACAGACAGCTGTTTGGAGGTCATTCAGATGTTCAGATGCAGTCTGAGGTAACCCCCACACGCACACACACACACACACACACAGGTTTGTTTTTATGGTTTATGGGGACTCTCCATAGGCGTAATGGTTTTTATACTGTACAAACCGTATTTTCTATCGCCCTACACCAACCCTACCCCTAAACCTACCCCTCACAGGAAACTTTCTGCATTTTCAGATTTTCAAAAAAACTCATTCTGAATTATATATAAGCCTTTTGAATTACGGGGACACTGAAAATGTCCTCATAAATCACCTTCTCGTTGTAATACCTATGTCATACCCATGTTATTATACAAATTTGTGTCCTCATAAACCACATAAACATGCGCACACACACACACACACACACACACAGCTGTTTGGAGGTCATTCAGATGTTCAGATGCAGTCTGAGGTAACCACACACACACACACACACACACACACAAAACACTTACATCATATAAAGCCAGCACTCCCCCGAAACATGAACACAGATAAAAGGCAAGCCGCCAACTACAGAAAGGAAATACTTTTGTTAATTACTGACATGCAAAGGGTTAAAAGGTCAAATATGGCCAAATACGAATGAGTCAATCATGAAAGTTTGTTTAGTGTGTGTAAATAGACCTGGCTTCTTTGAATTTCTTCAGTAGTCCGGGTCTGTCTTGGTTCCTCTGGCTGCGGAACCAGCGCTTGACCTGCCTTTCTGACCAGTCCAACTTTTTACATACACCTTTTATATCTGCCTAAGTACATAACATACACAAACATTACTAGACACACAAACTTAATATGTCAATATGTCCTGGCCCTACATATCCTTCTGAGACCCAGCTATGGAGTTTTTTGCCTCTGTAGTGGACATTATATTTTAGTGAATTTCTCTGAGACCTCACATGCCACAGTTTTAATTCTGGATGTCCAGTACAGAGCACATTCAGGGCTTTCCAGAGATACCAAATGTTTCACCATGGCCACTCCCTCTCCTTGGTTTTTAAAAATGGCTGACATTAATTTAGTGATAAAATTGTACATCCTTATGAAAATATGATAATATTTTGTAATTATAATTTAAATCTGGTTAATTTTCAAATTGTTTGTCATAAATCAACATCTCGGGAAAATGTTATGCGGTTTCAAATCAAAATACGACTTCCTGTTATGAAACAGGACATCATTTCATACATGTCCACTGTAGAGGACACCAGGACTAAAAGCATGTTTATTTTGGGAGACAAAAGAATTGAATAGGAAAACAACTTGTATATCAATATTCTTATGAAATATTAGATATTATTATGAAAATCTGGCCAATTACTACTCCCATTATCACACTTCTTTTTTTCAACATACTGTCCCAACAGCACTTTAATATGCAAATGAGATACAGTGTATAGATAACATTGTGCTTAATGGGAAAACCAGTTTATGGAATTTTTACACACATATTGCATAAAGCAAAATGGTATATCAAATAATTTTGTTATATAAAGCCTAGCAGCAGGACTGCTACAGGTAGAGTGATGTACAAATGGGACACACGGGCATAGTCACGCCCCTCACTGTCCTGTAGGTCCGCCCACATCACCGGCCTCGGCAACCACAGCCGATCCCACCAAAACCACTCACTGAGCATTGCCCTGTGAAAAATACACAAACATGCTGTTACATGCTGTTAAGTGAATGAATTGACATGTAAATAAATTAATGTAACTGTAATTCTTTAACTAGAAAAGCAAAGTTTGTCAAGACAGACTTTGAAAAGGCTCGACAGTTATGAAATGTATAGGCCTTACAGACAGACAAACATAGATAGATAAACATAGATAAATCAAGGCATTTAGGTGGATACAGTGATGTTAAATAATATTTCTTAATATTAAAACCAGTTAATTTAGATGGTTGCCATTTTTTCAATGTACACAGGCAGACTGAGACAGACTGAGACAGACGGACAGACAGACAGACACAGAATAGAATATTTGGGTCCATCTTCCCAGGCTATTATAGTGTTATGCATTAGCTCCTGTAATAGGATACATACCTGAGCACAATACACAAAAGAGACAAATGAACACAGACACCTGCAAAATTTACTGGGAAATTTTGTTTACTAGTTTCTGTTCCACTTCAGGACCATAAGTTTAGTCCTTCAGAACATGGAGGCTTTTTGCAACAAAGAAAATGTGACTTGTTTAACAGTGGTAGAAACATAAGTGGCAGACTTTAGATAATTGACATGCAAAGACTGAAATCTACAATAGTATGCGGGAACAGATTGTGAAAAAGAGTTCAAAACATGTTTGAACAGCTCTAAAGAGAGCCATTTATGAGTCTCTCACTGGGAGTATCCAACTGCAGTACGGATCTGGACTTACATAAATTCATTCAGACCCACAAATCCAGCTCACAATAGAACAATAGTATCTAATTAACCTTGTATTACACATAAGGCAAAAGCAAAACACTCTGATTCAAGTAGTATTTTGTTAGAGCGAAAGCAGTGTAGCTCAGGTTATTGCATGTGTTCTTATAGTAAGCACTGACGGTTTGTTACCATGACAAACAGACATGCATAACGTCCCAAAGACTGATTGAGGAACACATGCCAAACAGAAACAAACACATCCATACCTTCTTTCCCCTCTCAGATTTGTGTCCTCTTCTAGTTTTACACACTCTTCTCTTTCCTCCTCCTGATTTCCTGTTTTTACTGTTGTAATTCTGTTCACACACACACACACACACACACACACACACCTTTAAGTTGATCCTCCAGAGTTGTGCCCAGTCCTGATGAATCCACTAGGTACTAACAGAACAGGGGAACTCTCGCTCTCTTACACACACACACAAACACTTTCACTGCATACCTCAACCCCCCACAAAGAGCTCATTGAACCATCTGTGTGTGTCTTGAAAGGGGGCCAGAGAACTGGATATGTGGGAGGGGCCACAATCACCTCAGGTATAGTCAAAGAAAGGCTGAGTTAGAAGGAGAGAGAGGACATTAACCTTGAAATATTGCATGCCCTAAACAGGTTCATAACTCACAGGTTGAATAAGAGAAATGTTCTCTTTGTTGTGACATTCTTACTTTACATTTAGTGTTTTAGTCCTTATTTACATTTATGTGCTTTTATTCAAAATGACTTACAGTGTGGTTAAGTTTTACATTGTTTTTTTTTAATCGGTGTGTGCATGTTCCATGAGAACCAAACCTGTGACCTTAGTGTTGCTCGGGTCATGCTATACCAGCTGAATTACAGGAACACTCTGCAAGTGGTACTCGGTAACTGGAATGAAAGCATCTACTTACTCTAGCCAAAATCCTACAGGAATGTGTATAGGATTCCTGCTGGATCATAACTGGAACCAACTGAAAATTATACTAATGATTTTTGTACAGGACTTCAACAAAACACAAACCAGAATCTGTATCTTTTAGAACACATACTGTAGTTTGGGTTTTTATTCTTAGCAGTCAGATAAAATGCCCATGTAAAACCTTAAAAGTCATTTAAAGAAAATTGTTTAGATTTTTTTAATTCCTATAGCGCGCCCTGTGGGATTTTTAACTGTACATTAGCAAGCCATAGTTCTTTCAATGCCCCAATCAAAATCTTCAATTGTTTAAAGAATTTCTTTGGATCATAATTTGGAACCAATTTAGATTCCAATGGAAATTAAATAAATGAAACTGAAAATCCTACTGGATATTGTGTAATCTTTATCAGAACATGCCTTACTACTGGATAGATAAAGGAAAAAGGAAGATAAAGGAAATCTTCTATTGTCCTCATTTGTAAGTCGCTTTGGATAAAAGCGTCTGCTAAATGATTAAATGGAAATCCTACTGTTCTTTAAATTCCTTTTAAAATCCTACACAAGCATATTATTCCAATGATTATCATAATGGTGCTATTAGTAACTATATCTAGTTTTTAATGTTTATCAATATACGTTACCGTTGGTTCTAAATTATGATCAAGTATGAATCATACACATTCTTATAGGATTTTGACAACTGTTATTAATGCTTTATATGCATTTAAAAATGAGAACATTTCATTTCTCTTTGGGATTGGTTCCTTTAGACATTTCCTTAACATTTGTACTAGGGGGAAAGTCCCATATGTGGTAATGCAGGACAGAAGAAATATTTACTTTATGTAATATTGTTAAAGTGTATGAATCGCTGGCTCCACCTATACTCACTAGTCTGTGCATGACTGGATTTTGATCCTAGTCCTTTGTCTCACTAGTGTCCCACCACTCACTGTCTCTTTGTGTAGGTTGCTGTTGTTTCCATCTAGTGGTGGTGGACAATACAGCACTTGGAGTCAGTATACAACACAGGGTCAAGGTTTTGCTGGTAAACATAATCCAGTAAACCCCTGCTGGTAGATGCTGTAACTACATTATGAGGGGTAAAAACACATTTTCCATTGACAGCCACTCAAAAGTAGCAGTGCATTCTGACAAAACGGCTTTCCCCCCCTTTATATAAAATAAAAAACAGAATCTTCTTACTTTCCACTTTTTATTATGAACAGTTTCTTTCTGTTTTTTCCCCTTCATAATATCAAAATATTGTCAGAGTTTCTCAAGACCTCTAGAAATAACATGGACATGAATGTTCTACTTGAACACTGGTTTGTAACTGTTCTTAGCTAATTGATCCCTGTTAGCACAATGCATATCATACACACCTGCCATTCAACATAGACTTGAATACACAGAGGCCATGTCCACACTGCAGCTAAATACAGCTGTCAACTCCAGTTGGTTTAATAGTTAACCCTAAAATTTGAGTTTGTTTGTCACACAACCTGTTGTATGGTTGTGGCTAGAAGGGATACAGCTCCGACCGGAAACTAACAATGAAAATGAATTTTCTACCCATTAGATTGTGTTTTATTAACGCCTACCCCAACCCTAAACCTACCCCTTACAATAATGAAAAAATAGTAATTATTGTTGTACAGTGTATTACGCTAAAAATTTGGCTATATTGATGTGTGCATGCCCAGTAGCCGCAGCTGTATCCCTTCTAGCCTTAACCCTGTTGTATGGCTTCAGAATATAGCATACGAGTCATCTGGTCTACTTTTATGGTGCTTTTTGTCTTTTATAGAGTTTGTAAAGTATAAATAGCCATTCACTTTATTACATCAAAGAGCCTGGACTCTCAACATAATTTTTTATTTTGTGTTCCAGGGATGAAAGAAACCAACATTAGTTGGAGTGACATCAGAGTAAATGATTACATAATTTTCATTTTGGGTCAACTAATCTCTTAATCCTGTTCTGTACACACAGAGTTTAGATATTAGTGACAACTAATGAAGCATTAAAAATAGCCAGATGCTAATACATCTCAGTACACTAATATTAGTTACTAAACTGCTGGCATAGATCTTTCATGCTTACAGCTGCGAGACATCAATTATTGCTTGTTTGGATTGACACTTGTATTCCATACACAAATGGAACAATAACTTAGCTATTCATTCCTGCAAATAAAAGTGGTTGTCACTTCAGAAACTTGGCAGTGTGAACGTGGCCTGTGCACATTCATACCATTTGTCCCCCGTTAGTGAGGAACAACTTTAAAAGTGACGATTGGGTCTAAATCCCTGAAAACCTCTTCACAGTGAATATAGCATGCTTTACATTAGCTTTAGCAGTGCTAGCACAGTGCTAAATGGGATTATGTAAAATACTACAGTGTTTTTGCAATGTACAATGTAATTGGCTTTGAATCCATTTCAACATCACATTTCTTTATCATGTCATGAGCGTGCTGCTATGTGCTAACTTGCCATGTGAATGAGACACTACAGATGTTGCCACCAAAGACAAAAAGACAATTCCACAAACTAGTTGGCTCATTTGAAGCTGACGTATTCTGTTAATATGTTCACATTTAGTTATTATTCTGGTTAAGTACATGTAGCAAAACTCATGAAAGAACACACCACAAAATGAAAGTTCCACTTGCTGAGTAACACATCATATGGACTGCAAAGCCCTTTGGCCTATATTCCTAAGCCTCTCTCTCTTCTCCCCTGTTCTGGTTCAAGAGGTCAGGTTAATGAGATTTGATGTGTGTATATCTGCGTATGTCTGTACAGGAGTTTATATGTGAAAGAGAGAATGGCAAGTCACAGTATAAAACAATGTTTAGGAGTCATCGATCCACGTCAGATGGCTCCATAAAAGTACCCTAGAATGCACAAGTCGAACTTGTCTGCACTCGTTCCTCCAATAAAAAGGGTGATTCTGTGCAAAGAAGTCCCCCTAGTTAACCAACCAAGTTAACCTCCACCAAGCCACCAACAATTGATCTACATCCAGAGTTACTGAAGATGCTTGTTCAGTCATTAATGAGAAATTGATGAGTTGTTGATGGCATGGGTTGCCTGGCACTGAGAATGGTGATCGGATGCAAGGTGCTGAAAAGGTGGAGTGTTGCTCCACTTCATCTTATCACACTCATACGGGAGTGTTACGTTTGAGATCACTGGGTGAGGGGGGGATCTGTTGACTGAGGTGTGTGAAGGTGGTGGAGTGACTAGGTCTGGTCTTCATCTCCCCAGAAGTCTCTGAGCCTCTATACTTTGGAGGAAGAGTCTGGCATCGGCCCTTAACTTTCGAGCCTGGATCACGAGGTGGAAGCCCTTTTGTTTCGCTTCCCATCAGCTCTGGTTTGGAGGGAGGGCGTGGTAGTCCTGCTGACTGGCTGGCCATAAGTTCTGGTTTCGAAGGAGGATGTGGCAAGACTGTTGAAAGGCTGCTAGCAAGCTCCGGTCTGGATGGTGGGCGAGGAAGTGATATGGAATGACTGCTCGTGAGCTCTGAATCCAGTGAATCTGAGACAGACGTTTGGCTTTCAGAGGGCTTGGTTTTAGATGGTCCTCTAGGAACCATATGGGTGAGCTCGCAAGAGGATGGAGGAACTTTCTGGTCGAGATGTGTGAATGTCGTCGAGTGGCTGGGTCTGTTTGCATGTGCTTCAGCTTCAGGTCCTCTGTGCCTTGGCGGAAGTGTTTGGCAACGGCTCTTAGCCCTGGAACTTGGGTCTCGAGGTGGAGGTCCATTCGAGTCAAACTCTCGGTGTCGTGATAGAGAGCTGGATTTGATTGAATGAATGGACTGGTTTGAACATGCTAGAGGTGTGGTGAATGATCCATCATGACAGGCTATCTTAGACAGGGACTCTGAAGTTGTATTGAGACTTTCACAGGTCAAAGGTCGAGGTCTATCAGGCAGATCACTGGTGGATGCAATCGGTTCCTCTGCTAATTGTTCCTCAAGCTCTTCCTCCTCTCTGTTGGTCAGCTCTTCATCTGACTGGCTTAGCATTACTCCACTGCAGACAGGCAGCTCTTCTGGTGATCCTTCCTCTAGACCCTTGATGACTACATCATTATTGGTAGTTGTCATTGGGTGTGACTGGGTGCACTGCTTGTCCGCCTCCTCTGTGAGCAGAAGATCCATCAGGAGTGCTTTCTCTCTCTTTAGCTGCTCTTTCAGAGAACGAGGCATGTCTGGGATCAACCATGCCACCAGCATACTGAGGAACATGGCCAAGTTCTACAACACAACAACATACAGAATCAAACATCCAGTCCAGTTTTACAGGAATATTCTGTGTTATATACAACTTAAACTCTAAGCAATTTGGATTTGCCTCTCAGTTTACAAGAAAATTAGAAAACCCTTATACAACAATGCACTTATAGTGGAAGTCTATGGGTGGTGTTAATCTTGTCAGTGAAATGTTTGCTGACCAAGGTTTTTTTATTTTATTTCGTCAACAATAACAAAGACCAAACAAGAAATATTTAATTAAAACATATGGTTTCTGCAGGTTTTATGCTGATAAATCTAATGTTAAACGTGGTAATTAACAAATCTTTATACATATTAATGAAATAAAAATAAGAAGATGGACTAAAATGAATGTACTGTATATGAAATTATGAAATATTGATTAAAGGACATTTTTATCATAAGACAATACCAAATGACTGAAACAAAAACTGTGTAAAAAGTATCGCTGCTTATATGGCATGTTGGGTTTAAAACAGAAGTGTGCAGCTCATTTATTTATCTATCTAGCTTAATTTACTTGGCTATAAAGGACTCACATCAATTCTTCATTAAAGCTGCAGTCTGTAACTTTTTTTGGTTAAAAATGATCCAAAATCAATATTAGAGCAAGTACATAACCAGCTAGTGTTCGAAACTATCACCTTACTTTAGCCCGATTCACAACGGTCAGCTTATAATAAGGTTTTCTAATTTGAGTGGTACGGGTAGGTTTTTGCGGGAAATTCGAGCATGCCGCTGCGCTATTACGTCACGTCTGTAAACATAAAGAAGTTGTCCTGGCTACTAGGCTATCGCATGTGAGGATCCTGCAGGTGGCGGATCATTTATAGCCTTTTCTCACAGCAGCTGGAATAATTAAATGTATCATTTTGATGGCGGATTGTAATCCAGAAAGGACCATGTGTTTATGAAACACATGTGAATGAAATTAAATTATAGTCCAGTTTTAAATGTGCTTCTGATTACAGATAGCCTGGGATTACACAAGATTTGTATTTTAAAGACAACCAGTTCGAAGGGAGCATAATTAGCTTTTTGGGTTAAAAGAATTTCTTAATATGAAATTCGAATGGTATGACAATTAGAGATTAGACTGTACAGAAATTGAAATCTACACGCTATAACACACTATATTCACATAGTCACATAATGCTGATGTTAACATTAACAATTTGAGAAGAAAGTATAACAATAATAATAATTTGCGAGGTTTGATGTGATATGAGCTAACTGATCTTTAGATTAAATCACTATTAGTAGCGCGATTTATTGTAATGCTTTTTTTCCCCCTCAGTTGGTCAGAACAAACGTGGCAGATTTGTTACTTACTTGTTCAGATGACAATATATGGTGCAAATTCTTATTTAGGTCATATATTCCAAGATGTAGGCTAGAATCTATGATTTCGAAGTGCAGTAAATATCCACACCGGTGCGGTGACTGACAGCCACACATTCACCTCAAAATATTAGATTAATCCACACTGGAGCCGAGCCGCCGCACAATCCACACAAGGAAGATAATTCCGCAGATAGCTGCAATTGCAGGTTTTCAAACAGAGATGGCGACAAAGAGGCAAAATTTACGGACTGCAGCTTTAAGATTTTTTGATAATACATTTTAGGTGGATGAATTTCTGGTTAAGCATTATTTATGTAAATACAATTTTCTGGAATTTGCTGCATATGCATATGGAATTCTAAAATATGCATGTTCATCTAATCTGTAAATCTAATTTAAAGTTAATAGGCCACTGCTGCTTTTATCACTTATGTCACAGTTCTTCAGGCATTCCCCCACCTCCACCTTTATTTCTAACATTTCAGCTCTATTTTAATCTCCTACTAGTAGGTTAAAGGAGGGGAAATTAGAGTTTGAGCCCCCTTATTGCAGAATGACAGCTGTTTACCTTTATCTTGCAAAGATTATATGGACATATGAACTCCTGAAAATGCTTTAGGGATATTTACGTTACAACCCTTCCTTGTATCATTGCATGGATGTCATGTAAATTATACTAGGATGACATGGCCATGACACAACAACATTGCACAAGCAAGACTACATTTTGTTTAATGGTAGATAGAGCATAAATTGTATTTAACCTGCAATGTTCATTGAACAAGAAGAAAAGCCATTTAATAAAGACTGACCTGGAAAAAAATGACAAAAGCCAGGCGTGCAGCGAGCACAGACCAGTACTGCTTAGAAAGTTGGTAAGACTCGGGAGACCAGGGTGGATCTCGATAGTCTTTGTACCTGTGAAGATGATGAATTGTTGAGCAGAAGAAAGAATGTTACCAGATAATGTAGGCGAGTAGAGTTCATGAGTATGAGGGTATTGAGTGTGTGTTGTGTGTACCTGCAAATACGGAGTTGTCTGTCAAAGTCCGTATCATGTGGGGCAGTTCCAGGTTTAAAGTTGCTCGTGTTGAAATAAGCCAGTGTATGGTTTGTATAACCATGCATGTTGCCTGTCTCACTGTACAAATACTGATACACCATCCGAGGAATGAACTCCGATGTAAAGGAGATCACAAATGCCTTGAGGGAAAGAGAGATAGCAGGAGGAAGAACCTTAAAATCTCTGCATGCAATGAGATAAATCATATTAAACACAGCCAGCAACTAAATCTGAAATTTGTTTCATCTTAAGTCACAATCTCTGTTTAACACTCACATTTGTAATGACAGCAAACTTGCTGATTCCACTCAAGATGTTGTACCATATGCCTGGAAAAGGGAAGATAAATATGTGACAGTGTGAACTAGATTAAATAACAGTTATGTTAAGTGCATAGTAATGAGCAAGTCTGTACATATTTGCTGCAAAATTTCATACCAATCTCTTTAGCACTGACTGCATCAGGCCGGCGTATTTCAGTGACGAATTTTGCCGCATCTAGTCGGATTTCAATGACGTTATTAAGCAGAGCAAAAACTGGTGCCAGCGGGAAGGAAGCCACAAAGAGTGTGACAAATCCATACTGAATAACTGCAGACAAACAAACACACACATACACAAATGATCCACGTCCTTAATCAAACCCAATTCCTCAAAGTCATCGTGGGCCTCTTTAAACACCTTTTTTTAAATCTCTTCTAAGGAAAAACTAATAATAGAATGTATAGAGCAGGTGTTGGCATCCATTTTAACATTTTTATCTCTCTTGTTAATCAATGTGCCACTATGGCTTCCTTTACAGCTGTGTGACTGCAGTGAAGGATTACTAATGTATTTTGCCATACAGATGTGAGGGATTTCAAAATAAACAACTAAATAAAATAATACATGTAATATTCCTCTCCCTTTGTGACAGAAGGTTTCCAACCACTGTCAGAGTCTCTGAAGTTGTAGTTGAAGTACAAGTTGTGATAGACAGAAAAGCAAAGGAAACATATTAAGTGTCAGTCTTCAAGGCATACAAAGCTTATTGACCCATAGAATTGACTCTGGTAACTGTTAACCAACATGACCGATCCAATCCGCCACTACAGGGTTAACCCGATTAACATTTATTTACATATATCATAGGTCATTGTCAATATGATACTGTTATATTGTTTCCTTCAATCAAACTGTGTCTATGCTCTCTCTCAAGATCATTCCTTGAGTATCACAAAGCTTAAGGTCTGTTCACACCAACAAAAACTAAAAGTTGGTCCGGTTTTCACGTACAAACCTATTTCATGTACAGACCTATGTGAAAAAACAACAGACAGGCTGACTGAAAATGCACAGATACATCCCCATACAGGACAAAATCAACAAACTTTAACCTGGATTGACTGTCATCAAAATTCTGTTCCACCCATGTTTCTTATACAAGGAGGTTCTAATATTTCTAAACAAGATACTGGTTAAGATCCATCCCGATATGGGATAGAATCAACAACTTTTAAGCCATTATTTACAACATCTCTTACCCTGGAGGCGGGAAGAACAGATTACGACAGCTGGATTGCTTGTCATCTGATTCTGTTTACCCAATATTTCTAATACTAGAAGGTTCTAATATTTCTGAAGAAGATACTGGTTAAGATTCATCCCTATATGGGATAAAAACAACAACAAGCAACTACCTCAAAATGTCTCTCCATAGAGGTGGGGGAACAGATTCCGACAGCTTGATTGCTGGCCATTGGATTCTGTTTCCCCCATGTTCCTTATCCTTAGAGGTAATACACTAAGTAGCAGTCTTATGTTACTGCAGTGGCTCTGGGCATGTGACTGAAATCGCAAATCATATTGGTTGGGCAACCTGTTGTGTAGTGAGATTTAAAAAATGGTTGCATTGATGCCATGCAAATGTCTGTATTTGTTTTTTAGATTTATTTTTGGTGTTTTGCCTTTATTATGAAAGAGCAGACAGAAAGCAAAGTGGGAGAGCAAGAGGGGGGCGGGATCGAGAAAGGTCCTCAAGCCGGGATTTGAACTCAGGACACCTGAAACACAACAGCGTTATACTGTATGTCAGTGCACTGCCCACTAGGTTATCGGCGCAGACAAAGCTGTCTACTTTTAAACAAATTTAAATGTAATTGAATAGGAGCCAGATCCTGCTTTCAATATCAACATTTTCTAAACCAAATTTAGAGTAAGCTTCTAGCCAACTAGTTGTCCAGGCTACTAACAGCTGTGTAACAGCTTCAGGGGCTGGCTACATAAACTGCTAAGACGAGTCTTAAAAAGTTACTATCATCAAATTTGTTTTCTTCAAGACTTGTCATAACTGTTTGTGAAGTCGGTTACAAAAAAGTAGATTGGCCTAATTTAAATCAGAAAAGTAAGACCGATTATCTCTTGGCTAATTGCTGGTTGGTCAATCTAGTTCTCAAGACACAGTCTTCACATAGTGGCTTTGTTTATGCAACTGGCCCCAAAGAATGCAAAACCTATGGTTAATTCTGATTGGTCTGTAGCGCCCAGAGTATAGGTACTTCATGATGTTAAATAACTAGCAGTTCTATTTTTATACAATAAATAATTATTATTTTGAAAGTTATTATATTATTACAGCTATTAAAGCCAACTATAAACAGTATTCACATTGTACTTTTATAATGTGATGATGCAAATACAATTTGTTTTAAGAAATCTACAAAAGGAGGAATTAAGTACACTGATGAATCACTCAAAATAAGACCAGGAACATGTATTAAGAAAATAAACATTTTTTTGACAATAAAAAGCAATTTTAGAAAAAAACTTTAAGCCACAACACTGTCATTAAGTTATGTGCAACCAAATGAGGCTTTCATGTTGCAGGTTGACTGCATTTCAAACAAGTAGAACAATGAAGGTGATGCAGTACTCACCCATCTCCATGTACTCTGGGCTCAATCCCTCATATGGCTCCAGGTCGTAGTCCAAATCCCAGCGCTGTGGTTCTCGTTTGGAATCTTTGTCCTCCTCATCTGCCGATCCAGCTTTCTCCTCCTTATACGTGCGATACATCTTCTTCAGCTTTCTGTAATGTCAACAGATTTGGCTGTGTAATTTTAAACACTTCTTCCATCACTCACTGTGCACTGCGTTGGTAATGTTAAACGGTGTAGAGAATTAAAAATCTTATTTAACAAGAGAGTTAGGGGCTTCCTCTAATAGACTGGGGATACATTGCGGAATCCAAGAAAATTAGCTGAGGGACCACAGGGAAGACTTTGCATGTGTGTATGTGTGTGTATACTTACGGAATGGCAATTTCAAACACATTATTCTGAATGAGCTGTTTTCCCAGCATAATGATTCCCAGCTGAATACACACTTCAATAAGACAGCCACCTGGAGAGCACTGGACCAAAAACACATGTACATGCAAATAGTTAGTGACAGTATGCTAAAACACTGATGACAAACATATTATCGTTTTAATAATTACCTCTTCCATGCGGAAATCCTTAAAGACATAAACATAGTCACCCGGATGACCGGCAAACCTAAATTAGCACACCAGAGTTATGAGGGGTATTTTAAAATACCGACAATGCTACTATTCTCTGGAATAAAAAATGCTAACCCAGAAATTCTGCATTTTTGTGCTAGACACTAAATCCGCACATACTAAACTACAACATAATGGTGTACTGTTCAGCAACACAACCCTATATAGACATACAACAACACTACATGTAACACACAGACACCACAAAACAGGCTGTTATAGAATTATAATTTGCATCTGGAATTTAGACATGAATAAAAAAAATTATTAATAAAATATGATGATATATTTTTGAATTGAGTAAAAAAGGGGTAAAATAATTTTGAGAAAAATGAATTTTCAAGTGTACAACATGGGACTTGTATACAATAATTACATGAAAGATCATATTCAACAAGTAATATATAGTAAAAAAAATTAAATAGAATATAAAAAATATAGAAAATTACTGTAGAATATCATATTTTGACAGCACTTTACAATAAGTTCCCATTAGTTCATGTTTTAACTAAAAATGAGCAATACATTTGTTACTGTGCTTATTCAAATTTAACATTAATAAAAATACTTGTTAGTTCAGGTCCATTAAATAATATTTACAAATACAACTTTTGATTTTTATAATATATTATTATGTGTATGTTGAAATATTAACTAAGATTATTCATAGATTTTTCTTTGTTAGTTCATGTTTACTAGTGTAGTTAACTAATGTTAACAAATGGAACCTTATTATAAAGTGTTACCAATATTTTTGGTTTCTCAGTGTTGCATGATTTTAGGGTAACAATTTTTTAAATATATATATATATAAATAAATGTTCCTATGAAACAAATGCTCAAAGTGATATATACAATACAGACGAACATAGATAACATTCTCAACAATGCCGTACACAGGACAGTCACACACCACTACAGAATACAGTAGACACTAGTGTAGACACAACACTACATACAAACACAATACTACAGTAAGCACACCACTACACTGCAACACACTGGACATGATAAACAACCACAAAGTACATTATAATAATCCAATTATCATTGCTCGCAACAGAGACAAAACATCACGTTAGTTTGGGTGGGTATGCTAATGGGATGCCATTTTACCTGCCCTTAAAGAAGGCCACATAGAAGACAGGTGCAAATGAATTCATGCTCTTCAGCAAAAAAGCTTTCAAGATCACATGCTCCTCATATGTCGATTCAGTCTTTGGAATCTCTGCAAGTATGACATTAATATCATATTCATAATAATCATCATTGGTAATGCATGATCTTTTCTTCGTTAGAGTCACCCTTTTATCAAGACATTTTTTTTTAATGCAACACATTTAATCTTTTGTCATGTAAACACACACACACACACAGACACACACACACCAAGCTCTGTAATCCAGGCCGCTATAGCGCCGTAGATCTCATCCAGCACCAGAACCACCAGCAAGTTGATGATGACAGCGGTGGTTGTCACGGTTACACGCACATTAGCCTTGGCCTCGTGATCAGGGTTCATTGACATAACGGCAAACACAATGATGCGGTAGAGAATCACTCCAGACACGGCAGAGAACGTGACCCCAACCTGAGAGAACAGATAAATACGAATTTTAAGCATAAAAGCAATGTGACAAATGCTCTTATGGGGAAAGGTACCCACCATAAGGAGGATAGAGGATATGTTGATGCAGTACCCTGGCAGCCTGTCTGTCCATGACAAAGACTCGGAGGCAAGCTACAAGAACAACAGGATGTTACTTAATGCTCACCATATCAGCTGGTAATACACTAGCTACTTGACTACCATAATCACATTTTGCCTGAAACTAATAAGCAATAATGATTTTTGTTATGGCAATAAAATATGATGGCCCATACTATAAATCTATACCAGGGGTGCCCAATCCTGTTCCTGGAGATCTACCTACTGTACCTGCAGAGTTCAGCTCCAACCCTGATTAAACACGTCTCAACCAGCTAATTAAGCTTTTTTTATAGGAGCATTGGATAATTACAGACAGGGGTGTTTGATCAGGGTTGAAACTGAACTCTGCAGGTAGGTGGATCTTCAGGAACAGGATTGGTCTATATTGGTCTGTTTAGTGTTTTTTTAACCAGAATAATGTAATAAATAATTAAAGTTCATTAAAGAAGCACCACAGTATTTACAATTTTTTGTAAAATCAACCTATTAATTGGTTACTTATGCCTAAAAAGAATAAAACATTTTTTAAAAAATGCTAATATTGACCATTACCAATCTGGCCTCCAATATAAGTTATTCAGTTAAATAGTGTTAAAAACACTATTAAATATTAGTTTACAAAATCTACAGCTGTTGTAGTGGTTTTGTGCATCAGAACAGGAAATAGTTTCGAACTTGGAACAAACTAATCATTGAAACTAAATACGGGTGATTAGATTGAAGTACTGAAGTTAATGAACAGCACGGATCCAACCCACCCCCAGACGCGCACACATAAAATCTGAATTAAAACACAACACTCTCTCAGGTACACGCATATACACAGTGAACATGTGTCTTTGATTAGAGGAAGGACACCACTCTAACTTGTGTGTTTTAATCCAGCTCTGACTCTAATCCTGCATAATCTAGTGTGGAATACCCAGAGAGGTAATCTGCTTTGAGTGCCGTGTGTAGTAAGCGTGTACGCCACAGTAGTGTTTGAGCACATACGTGTGTTGTTTGTATGCGCCGCAGGCCTGACACTATGTACAAGGGCACAATGGCAGTAACAAAAATCCGCAAAATCACATCAAGTGAAATTGCGACCAAACTGCTCATTTCAGACAGGAAAAACACGGTTGTTCAACGGACTGTGTAGTTCATTATCTAATTCATTAAATTGTCAGAAAGAATGAGAAGAAAAAGATAAGAGAGTGCTAATGTGGGGTGTGATAAGAAGAAGGACGGATATGAGCCGGGTGGGCAGGAGGGGTCCGAAGGAGGTCAGTGCAGTGACCACTCGATTACCGACAGCTGAGAACTAACTGTATTATCCCTGAAGCCCCGCCTCTTCTGGTTAAGTTGATTAGCTCACTCTCTCATAGACAGACACAGCAAACTGTCAAATTATCTCCCCCCTCCTCACCGGTGACTGTCCTCCTTTAGCAGACAGTAGCTTCTCTCTTCCTTTGTCATCCGTTCCTGCGTCCGGCTAGAACATAGAGCAGAGATTAAAAGCACTGCGCACACACACTGATTCTCTTACATCTACCTGGAAAAATGTGCAAGGTATTCCAGGTATTTCAGCTCAGTGCATTTTTACGCAATAATTAAATTAAAGTGAAAATTAAGACTTCACCTTGAGATCCTAAATTGATAGTGGTAAGTGATTAATAGTGATTAAAAAGAATTTGCAGATTTCCTCTCAGACCTATTGGTTAATGTTGATAAAGCGCTAATTGTCGGAGACTTCATATTGATAATACAAATGATGCATTAAGACTTGCACTTACAGACTTAATAAACTCTTTTGGGGTCAAGAAAATGTCACCAGACCCACTCATCATTTTAACAATTCGCTAGATTTACTTATATTGCATTGAATTGATCTTACTGATATAGATATTGTACCTCAAAGTGATGATGATACTGACAACTACCTTGTATCATGCATGCTGCGTATTACTGATATTAACTATATCGCTCTGCTGTATCATCCGGATATAACTCCAACCACTAAAGATAGATTCACAAATAACCTGCCTGATGTCTCAACTGCTCTGTGTACCCATAAATGCACATGAACTAGATGAAATGACTAGCAATATTGGCACTATCTTCTCTAATACATTAGAAGCTGTTGTCCCCATCAAATTAAAAAAGGTTAGAGAAAAACATACTGCGCCATGGTACAACAGCAATACCCATTCTCTCAAGAAAGAAACTCGTAATATTGATACAATAACAAATCTAGAATCTACAGCATCTTGTAATTCAGCTTCATTCATCGCACCCAAAGAAAAATTGCAGTGCTTTACAACTACAAGACAGGAACTGCTAAATAAACGTATCACTGCATCGAAACCAATTAGATCCTGTACCAACTAAATTACTGAAAGAGTTGTTACCTGTAGCAGAAGAACCATTTCTCAATATTATTAACTAGTCGTTATCTCTTGGTGACATCCCAAAAACTTTCAAGCTGGTGGTTATTAAGCCTCTTATTAAGAAACCACAACTAGATCCTAGTGAACTGGCAAATTACAGACCCATTTAAAATCTTCCATTTATGTCTAAAATTTTAGAAAAGTTGTCTGCTCAATTGTGCTCCTTCCTGCAAAAATAATATCTATGAAGAATTTCAGTCAGGTTTCAGGCCCCATCATAGCACAGAAACTGCACTAGTATGGAGTGCCGCAAGGATCTGTCCTAGGTCCTCTGCTATTTTCAATATACATGTTGCCCCTTGGTAATATTATTAGAAAATACGGGATTAGTTTCCATTGTTATATGGATGATACTCAACTATATATCTCAACCAGATAAAACTTCTAAATTATCTAAGTAACAGAGTGTGTTAAATATGTAAAATATTGGATGACCAATAATTTTGTCCAATTAAATTCAGATAAGGCAGAGATATTAATTATTGGACTAAAAAGAATAGTACACTAATCACTTAGATTACAATTTGCATCTAGACGGATGTACTGTTACTTCGTTTACAGTCAAAAATGTGGGTGTTATATTAGACAGCAACTTGTCTTTTGAAGATCATATTTCACATAACAGCATTCTTCCGTCTTAGAAACATTGCCAAGCTACAAAACATGTTACCTGTTTCTGATGCAGAAAAGCTAGTTCATGCATTCATGACCTCTAGACTGGACTATTGTAATGCACTGCTAGCTGGTTGTCCTGCATCCTCAATAAACAAGCTACAGGTAGTCCAAAATGCAGCGGCTAGAGTCCTTACCAGGTCAAGAAAATATGATCATATTACCCCAATTTTACAGTCTCTG